ATTTTCAGAATTTTATATCAAGAAAACATAAAAAATGTTTACATAATTAGTTGATTAATTTTAATTAAATTTATTTAATTTAAAACAGTACTGATAATTAGATATATTAGACATTTAGATAAAATGCAGTTTAAAATAAACTATCTTAATAAAATGAGTCCTTTGCAATAGAAAGGGGGAAATAGCTAAAAAAATAAAAATAAATCAATAAGAATATTTAATATAATATAGCTGAAGGAACATTTTTGATATATTAAAATAGGACAGATTACATAATAAAATTTTAAATAATTCAAATAATTCATAAGAAACCACATACCTATTTATAGATTTAAAATTACCTAACTCATAAGTTGATTTAATAACATTTTTAAAACAAAAAAAAGTTTAGTTCACTCACTATTTAAATGAAAACTGAACCCTTTATTTTGTCAAAATCTAATATCACTACTAAAGAAAAAAGAAAATAAAAGAAAAGAAACATTAATAAGTTTCTAAAAAAAAAAAAAAATAAAAAAAATTACTTATCATTAAACGAAAGCCTATCTTTTAAAATCTATTTTAATGAAAGCTTCTGCTAAAAAAAAGTAGTATTAATCAGAAAATTCAACAAATTTGGCAATAATTTTTCTGACTGTTTCCTCCTTTTCTATTGCAAAGAATATTGCTTGTATTCTTTACTTTAGCAATGATCGATATTCGCAATTTATGAATCAATCATATATTTTATTTTTAGTATCACCTCACCTCCTTTGTTTATTTCACAAAAACTGATTTATCTCAAAAACTACTATAAGGTAGTTTCCCCTCTTTTTATTGCAAAGGGTCCAAATTATTTCTAAAATACATTATTAAGCTAAAAAAATTCTTCTTATATTTATATAAAACTTAATATATAGAGTTATTAAAATAATAAATAAAATAAATATAATAAATGAAATAAATGTAATATAATAAATAAATAATATAAATAAAATAAAAAGAATAGAAATAATATATTAAATAGACGAAATATTTATCATAGATGATATAGAAAATATAAAGTATAAGATATAAATAATTTTCTAATGATCATTATCATCTTTTGAATTATTATTATCAATATCTTTTCTTATGTAATAAAATTAAGAAATATATGTTGATAATAATCAAAATTATAAAGAATATAATGATATTAATAATAATGAATACAATAAAGCTAAAGTTAAAGGATATGATAATACTAATAATATTAAAAAAAATCATCTATATACAGTATAGAACAAAAAAAACCAGAATTTTTTAAATACACATTATGCAAAAACTAATGACACCAACTAAATAAATTTATATATATTTGAAGCTAAAAACTAGCTAATTTTATTAATATTTTTTTAGAACGGAATTTGTTCACCATTATTTTCTATAATAAGTTCACATCAGCATTTCATTGATCCTACTAATCCAATTAAGATCAATTCTGAAATATCGTCTTATTCTTTGATCATATATCGGCGCAAATCATAGATGACTTACAAAACCTTTAAGTTTCATCTAACATCCTTATATATAATACTAAATTAAAATATAAAAGTATAATTTTTATTTTATATTTATATTAATTATATCTTTACATTCTACTAAATTTTATTATTTTTTACTTAGAATATCTTTTCACATAATTGTTATTTTAGAACACTATTATACAATCTTTTTTTATTAATTTTTTTCTTAGGTATTTTATATTAATTACTTTTGAATTCTATTTATTAATTACTTTTGGATTTTACTATATCAATTATTTTTGGATATTACTATATTGATATTTTTGTATTCTATTATTATTATTATTAACAAAACATGTTTATTCAATTCATATGATTTTTATTTAAAATTTTTATTTTAATATAAATTTATATTTTGTTATCATATTTTCATGCTATTTGTATAAAAAAAACTCAACTCTAATCTTAGTAAAATAAATAAAATAATAAGATATTTCTTAAGTTAAACATATTTTAATTATAACTTTAGCTATAATTTTTAATATTATTTAGTAAAAAAAAGATATAATAGTTTTAAATACATATTATTTTGAAAAATTGAATTTACATCAAAAAATTTTAGATAGATGTTAATATAATAATATATATTATATGTTATTTAATGCTAAAATATATTGAGATACAAACCCTTTATTAATTATTACTATTTAAATATGTTTAGTATAATATATTTTAAATGTAAAATAATATAATAAAATAATAATAATTTAAAAATACATATAATGTAGCTAAAAAATATGTATAGTATAGTTAAAAATTATATATTATTATAATTTAATATATTAATTAATATAACAATTTAAAATTATCTAATTATTTTTGATATTATATTAGTTACAATGTGGGACAAAAAAAAACCAGAATTTTTTTTGAGAAATAAAATGATATAGATCTCAGCTAAATCAAGTCTGATCTGAACTATATAAAAAGGAAAATAATCATAAGGTAAGTGAGTATATAATTTTTTTTTTTTGTATTACTAAATATTAAAATTTTTTTTTCATTTCCTCTCCTCAATATTTTCAATTTTTTAAAAAAAACTTAAAATTCAATTAATTAAAAACGATGACCTTCAGACAAGAAACTAACCATCAAACGATCTTACAATTATGGAATCAAGGTATTCAGAAGGCTAGGGAAATCTATCAATACACTGAAATTTCTCTCACGACTGTATACGACAGACAACCTTACCAAGCTTTGTGAATCTGGGATGATTCAGTATGTAGAAGGAAGTGGTCGCCCAAAAAAGATTATGGCTAATGTATTAAGAGCATTAGCCCAATTTGTCCGCTAGAATTCTTCTATTTCAACAAGAATCCTGTCAATGAGGTTGTCATTGAAAGGTGTGAATGTGTCCTATAGGACAATAGGAAGGCATTTAGCCAAAATTGGATACCAAAAAGACCTTTCAAGAACAACGCTGATGCTGATCGCAGACTATAAATGTAAATGAGTAGAATAGGCCCAAAATCATCTTAATGATGATTGGGATAAAACTCTGTTTTCAGATGAGACTGCCTTCCAACTGTTCTGGAATACTGTAGAGCACTAGCATAAAGGACAATGACTGATACATCCTATACCTAAAGATCGAACAAAAATCTTTATATAGGGAGGATTTTATGTAAAAGGAAAAACAAGTTTATATTGTTTTACTCAAATAATAAATGCTGAATTTTATGTAAACATACTCTGTAGCCACCTTCCAGAGATTGAAGACTTGTTTGGAGATGAATGGCGTTTTCAGCAAGACAATGATCTGAAACACATCAGCAATCATGCCAAAAAATTTCTTCAGAAAAATTTTCCTGAAGTTATTAACTGGCCTTCTAACAGTCCAGACCTAAATCTGATAGAAAACCTTTGGAGTATTTTAAAAAGAATGTGGAGAAGAAAATGTCAAAAAATACCGATAAATAAAAAAAGATAAAATTTAACAAAATTATATTAAAACATTATCAAAAAATCTGTGAAATTCTGAAAAAGGTAAAACTATATCAAAGCTTATAAAAATGAGAAACTATATCAAAACCTTAGTAAAAAATTAGCAAAACTATAATTTAGAAATTTTGCCAAATTCAAAATGAGTTTAGATAAGCAACCTTAATTATATATCTTATCTATGATAAATGAATATAATAAAACTAATAAATTGTAAATTTAGTACTAAATAATTTATTTTCAGAATCAGATAATATTACATATTTTAAAAAATAATAAATAAATATTATTTAATATTACATATCTCAATTTTAACAATTAAATAAAATATAAAAAATAGGATTATAAATTTAATACTATATATCTCAGAAATAAACAATTTAAGATACTAAATAAATGTTAATTTAATATTACATACTTTAGCAATTAGATAGACTCATACAAAAAAAATTATGTTATTAAAAAAGACATTCAGTTTTGAAAATTAATCTTTATTTTCTAGTAATAATTATTTTTTTTTAAATATTATACTATAAGAAAGTAAACAAATTGTGCTAAATATTTAATAGTATAAGAATAATAAAACAATAAATAAATTCTACTAAAGAAATAAAAATTTAAGAATAATAAGAAAGTACTCAAAATTAATAGGAAGGATAATACTAAAATAATAAGAATAAATTTAAATGAGACTAAAAGACTATTAATACAATAAGATAAAAATGCTTTCAAATAAGATTAGCAAGTTATTAATATAAATATTACAAAAATATACACAATTAAATTTAAATTAAACTAGAAGATATTAATAATTTATAGATAAATTATGAAGTTGCAGATTGTGATTTCTTAATTTATCTAAAGCATAATGAGAAAAATTAAATATTAGATATATAATCACCTAATCAATTCTATATTGCTGATGTCATATTATGTTATTTACAAAAAATTGAATACTAAAAAATTAAATATAAATTAATAAATTATGATTTTTATTATAAATTCTTTTATCTAAAATTATGTTTCTGATTAAAATAATTACTATTTCTTAGTATTAAAACTAAATAATAATATGAAGTAAATAGATAGTAATTTCTAAAAGATTACTGTCTACTTCAAATAGTATTTAAACTTTTAATTAAAATTTATAATTATAATATATATTACAATAATTATTAATTAAAATTATGCAAAATTAATTTAATATAAATAAACATATAAAATTACTAAAAAACAGATATCTTATTTAATGTAAAGACATTCAGAATTATAAAATTGCTACAGCCTTTAACTTTAGTAATTAAATGCATATCTGAAAAAAAATAATGAAAACATTATGAGTGTTATCAGAGATGGCAATGAAGTTACTTCATATATATTAAGTTTGTAAGTCAGAGAATTTGTTTAAAGCAATCTAAAAATTATCGAATCAATAACAATTAGACTTATAAATATAAAACTTGTTATTTGTAAAAATTCAGAATCTTTCTTTACCAAATCAAAGCCTTTATCCTATACAGTATCTGCCATATATTTGACATAAGCATCAATTGCCTTGCGTTCCAATTCAGCTTTGGCCTCAATCTATTTATAAATTACCTTTTAATGGTAACCCAAATACTTGACCCAACAACTTCTTCAACAGACACTGTTCTAGACATTTCAGTTCAACCATGTTGAAATTTCTTAGTCGTTGATATGTTGATGATTTTTTAAAATATTATGTTGCAATTTCACATCTAAATGAGTCGGGACGCTCTAGTCCAACTTTGATCTGACCATTTATTACATTTACACGTGATTAAATACTTATGTCTTAGAAATTTTATGATTCACAACAACTTTATTTTAAAAAAATTTTAAAAAATAAAATATAATTAATTAATCCCGACTCGCCAACTCTCTCCTACAAAAAGAAGAAAATGTTGTTAAAAGTCATTTTTTTTAATACCACAGAAAATGAATAAAACGTACAAGGCGTTCCGGAACGCGTCCATCGTCTGTTGATCGATTGCTATATATTATAAGGGAAAGAATTATAAATTTATTAAAAACATTAAAAATATTTCAATGAAAAAGTAATTTACTTTGGGGAGCTTGACGGTGGGCGACCATATCTCTTAACTGAATCATCCTCATTATCCTCAACGCGGCTACTATGTATTATGAAATTTAATTTTCATCACATTGACAAAAGGTAAAACGGGTTATCACGTGATAAATTTACCTGCGCCATGGGTATTAAGTTCATACCATCTTTAAATAGCATTCATCAAAAGAAATAATGTTAAAATGTCGGTTATGGTATTATAAACAAGAATATAAAGATAAAAGATAAGAAAGACACCTAATTCTACAAGATCTCGAATTACGCGCCCGAAAGTGACCGGCAATAACGTTCCAGTTGATTCGGGTGGTGGGCTCCAAATTTACAGCTTGGACTAATAAACAATCATCCTAATAAATTTTTTTTTTTTTGTTATTTTTAAGGCAATAATTAATCTTGAGCAAAAATAATATGAGCAAATGGAAGTTATAGAATAGTTACTTACAAAGGGAGTCCAAATAGATCTAGATTTGCTCATTTTTGTTAAAAAAAAAAAAATTTGAAATGCAAAGGAATATTCAAAAAAAAAAAAAAAATAAAATTTGATGGGGAGAGAGAATAATAGGATTTCTGTTCATCATGTTCTACTACTAACTAAAACGATTAATTTATGTAAGGTGATAAAAAATGCCATCTTGTCACTGCTCATCGACACAATATTAAAAAAAAAAAATCATTTAATCAATTATCACAAAACTTTATTATTCAAATTACTTAATGAGAAGCCGTTTACTTTCGGAAATTCTCTCTAGAAACTTGTGACATTTATTATACAGTCTTGTTCTACATAAAAACATGCGTAAATATTTAATTGGTCTAAAAAACTTCTATTTTTTATTATTATTAAGCATCGTGGATCGTGAATTCATTTGTAGTTAATAAAGATATGTAGTTTAAATAGTTTAAAGCAAAAGGTATCTTTATGTTAAATGCGTTCCATTATTTGTAAAATAAATTATAAAGACAACGCGTAAATTACATGCATATGTGTTTGTTAAATTTGACCGATTTAACAATTTTCCCAACAAAAGAAACGGTAAATCAATAAAAAAGTTAACTTTTTATGTAGAACTATAATATGGAGTATTTGTTTAAACTTTTTTTGGAGAGAAAAAAAAATTTGAGAGGAATTGAATCGAAAGAGCGATGATATTAAAGCGCTAACATATAATATAAATAAAAGACTCCCATTATCTCGGGGGATCGGTCTAATGGTCTTCCTTATCCATGGTTTGTGGTGGAACGTTCTTTGATACTTTATTTAAAATTTATTCGAGTATTAACGTCAATAATCCTTTATTTGTGAAATTAATCGCGGAAACTTTTTTTTTTTTTATAATTATCCATTTGTAGGATGTCCTTTTTAAAATTAGACAAAAAAGTTCATATCATATATGATATGCACACAAATTTAAGTGGTAAATTTTAGATATTGTGATGTATCTGTTAACAAGACAGTGAAATTCCAAGTGTATTTTATTTTATGGAAAATTCTTATCTTTTATCATTCCCTCACTTTCTTTTTTTTATATTACCTAATATAATTATTATTACCTTATACGGTAATACATGTAACCTTTGATTTTTGACCACCCATATGATGCCTTATCGTTCCATTCATATTTATGAATTATTTAAGAATAAATTTTTTTTAAAGTTAATATTGATCATAGAACGTGAGTGAGTGGGTGGTTAAAATCCTTGTAGATTTACATTATACATCAAAAACCTTTGTTCCATTTTTTTTTGACGTACAGGTTCGCGCATTATGTATGTGTAATGACTTCATTATAAAACAATTGAATCATTGTTCAAAGTTTTATTCATTTACAATGACAAATTCAGACAACGCGTAAATTTTAATGCCCATCGATTTCGTGGGAGAAGAGAATTAATTATTTTTTTTTTTTTTTAAAAAAAAAAAAAGTGCGGTGTGATCCGTCACGCAGTTATTATTACAATATTATGAATCAAACATTAGAGAGGTACCGGAATTAGATATTTATGCGCTCATAATGTGAGTAAATAACCAAAGATCGAAATGAAAAAATCTATTTATTTATTTATTTATTTTGCATAATGCTAACGACAGAAACAATGGATAATGTTTAAAACGCGGGGTACAACATCATAAGACTTTTAAACATTTAAGCAAATATATATATACATAATTTACAATTTTATTATTTTAGAAATATAATGAATCAAAAAGTTGTACGTGAATATTGTTTTTTTTTTGAAGAAAGGTAATTATTATTAATAAATCGATCTCAGCTTATAATAACATTAGTTTTTAACCATGGTATCATCAACAAAAAATGGGGATGATACCATTGATACTTCCAAACAATACTGCAATAAATGCATTAAACGTTGGTAATTAAAGTTTGTTTTAAGTTTTATTTATTAAAAAGGTTAATTAGACGAAACTAAAATTATCCAAATATGTTAAGTTTGATTATGATAAATTCATGTTATTCGGCATCAAAAGTTTAACTTTTTCTGAAATTTCTTTTCAAAGGTTTATCTAATAAACTTATTATTTATTCGTCTCGAAATTTCATTGTTGTGAACTTTATAATTGAAAAAAAAACCCCCGACTTTAAACAATATCTTTACATGCCATGCAACTTTAAAACCTATGATAATCGCTCCGAAATTACACTCCGCGTATCTTTATTTACCTATTCTGAAAGTTCAATATTCTCATGTAAATTTATCATACATAATAAATTTTTTTACATGTAAATATAATTAATTTTTATATATATGATAAAATTGAAATAAATGCTTTAAACTTTTCTGACGATAAAATCATAGAAACTCATCTTTTGAATTTTCAGGTTGGGACGTTTTTTCTTGACGCAAACGCATATTGAATAATTTTATAATACTTAAAATGATTTTGACATTAATATTTTTTCGAAGTTGTATGTTATAAAGAATTTTAATATGTGATCAAAATTACGCACACACTTTATTTTATCTAAAAATCAAAATAAATCATAAAAAATTTTTTTATTAATATAAAGTACAGAAATACATTATATAGTCACCCTCTGAATTTATTAATGTCGCAACCCTCCTTCTCAAGTTACCAGAGCATTTCAATTGGATTTTGATCAGGTGACATTGATGGCTGACTCGGTGCTTATCAGAAAGCATTGGTTTTTGGAATTCTTTAACAAATTTCCCCCCAGATTCACTAAGACGTTGTCTAATTTGTTCTTTCACTAACCTAAATATCACTTTTTTTCATTGTTACATTATGATTTTCATCTTCCACCGTTGTGCAACGTGATCGACCTGACCTTTTCTCTTCGGTTAAATCATTGTTTTCTGAATATATTTAGCTATTTTTTCATAGCCTCATTTTGGTAAAATTCATCGATCATCTAACTCCTGATTTTTTATGTTGTACGAACCTATAATTTTACACTTGAAATTTTTATGGGTAGGTAACTTTATTGAATAGCCAATAATGTTACCATCACATGCGTATGGATCTTTATTCCGATCCTGTAGAATCTTTTTCTTGGAGAAAAAAAAATGAGTGAACACACTGAAACTTTTGTAAATAATATTACAAATAACATTAAAAATAATTCGTTACAAAAGGAAATTTCTGATTTCATTAGGTTAATTAATGAGCTAAAATTAAAAATTAAAGAAATAAAAGAACAACTTGCCTCAACTATAACAAAGTAAAGTTTATTCAATTCAAATTAGTTTTGCTAAAAAAAGTCCTTTCAATTTGCTTATTTTCTTTTTTTTTTTTTAAAAAAAAAAAAAATAAATTCTCAAATTAGAGCGAAAAACCATGAAATAAAAACAAATCAAGGAATATCATTACTTGAAATAAAATATCATACATTATTGGAATATATTACTTCTTTAACTTTTATAATTTATATGAAATTAAATGGTCAATCAATACAAAACCATCCTGTTATTGAAAATTTAATTGAACAAAGAATTGTTATAGAAAAGTTAAAACCTTTAGAACAAAAATTAAAATATCAAATCGATAAATTAATTAGAGCTACTATCGTTGATAACAATGATGATATCAAGTTGAACAATAATAATATAAGTGGGAATAGTTTGACATGTAAGTTGATGTGAAACCGGAGGAAGTGAGGTGGCAAATTAGAAATCTGTTAATTAAATATATTTTGGTTGAATTATTAGTGTCTGATCCTTTGTCATTCAAACCGAACCCACAGAATCTTGTAACTAAATTTGATGGAACAAATAATGGTAAGTTCATTTATGTCTTTGATCACAAAATAAGAAATATGATTATTATAATTATAATTATTATTATCATTTAGATGCGGAAGTTGGTTCGAACACTGGAGTTTACAAAGCACCAAAATTGGCCCCAGTACATTTTGAAGAAGACAAAGGTATTCATCAATTTTAAAACAATTACATTTTGTATATAAAGTTAATGTCTCTTCTTTTAAACTCATTTAGATGTCAAATCTAAAAGAGAACAAGAAGAATCAAGATTATCATCAAGAGCGTCAAAATCTCGTTTAATAAAAGATTTAATAGATGAATACGATGATCGTCCTGAAGAATCAAGAATAATAGGTTCTACCAACAATATTCCAGATACTCAAAATAATGACGATATTGAATTAGAAGAAAGGTTACGTTATGAAGAAGAAAACTTTATTAGATTAACTCTTTCTAAAAAAGATTTAAAGAAACTAAAGAAGAATAAAAGATTTGAAGATGAATTTGAGGTATTTCCTTTTTTTTTTTTAAAAAAAAAAAAAATTTGCGTAAAGTTATATCTGATTAATTTATTTATTTATTTATTCTTGAATTGGATTAGAATTTGAACGATTTTAGCAGTATTGCGACTTTACACCAAGATGTTGAAGCTTCGGAAAAAGAGCGTACCAGTGTTCTTGGTAGACGTAACGCAAGACGCGATTTACTTCATCAAGATATGTCTGATGGTGGTGATGAGGTATTAAAAATTTTAATTTGTATCTATAAATGTAATATAATAAATTAAATTATATATTATTTTATATTTAAAGGCTTTATCTTCTAAACGTGGTGGAAATAAAAATGGGCTATTTAACGGATTAATATCTGATCCGTCACAAATTAAAAAACGAAAAGATAAATTTAACATGGCAAAGAAGAATCTAAAAAGACAAAAACGCAAATAATAGACATGAGATGCATAATTTTTTGTCTTTTATATAAATTTATATTTATATATAATAAAATTTAATATGCCAAAATAACAACTAGATTGATTTTTTTTAAGCTTATCCACGCTTCTATAAATAACTACAAATAAATTTACCAAATAAAAAATGCTTTTTCTCTCAAACATCTAACTCCTAACTCGTTCCATTCCCCTGCATTAACCCATAATTCATTCAAAATTTCCAATTTACTCATTACGGATCCACCTTTCCATGCTAATAATCTTGGATCTAAATCCCTAGGTGATGTGAGAACTTCAAATTTATCTGTATTTTGCATTAGCCGTGAAGATAGCCTAACAATTTACAAGAAAAATAATTATTTATAATTAAATATTAATGTGTTTTTTTAAAAAAAACAAAAGGTTATAGATAAGATACCTTTCTTCTAGCATTTTATTCACTCCTGGAATAAGCCCACCTCCACCAACTACAAGTATACTCGAATAAAACTTTTTAGCTCTTTCTTCGGTCGCCGCAGAATTGATACCTTGAATTATGGCCTCATCAAGTGGTAGAACAGACACAGGATCTACAAGAAAAGCATTATGAATACGTGTAACCGTAGACGATACTGATGGAGATGCGGGTTGATTTGTAGGTAATATAGTTGCAGGAATAGGCGAGGGTATAGGAACTGTATTATTATCCATTCTAAGAGGTGTAGTCGAACCTGGACTGTCACGAGGTTGGGGTGATGGTGAGGGGAAAGAAGTTCGCATTTGAACTGCTTGCGTTGCAACAGAGAGTTTTGGTTTCGGCATAACTAATCCTGGTGGGAACTATAAAAAATATATATATATATATACATATATCATTATTTATATGATGCGTAAACTTTTTGAATTATTCGCGTCCTTACTCCATTGTTAGTAATAGCTCCATCTGTAATATCATCAATCGTATAGGATGCGAATTTTTGAGGAAAATCGGTTCGTTTCTTATTGAAATTGATTACATGCGGGTAAAATAGGAGCTGTAATGGTAATTAAATGTAAATTAACTCAATATAATATTAATCAAAAGGATTTGTTCATATAATTTAATTCTCACCATTGGTGCAATAATCGCATCATCGTACGTCTTAATGTGATATTTCAATGTAGGTTTATTAGGGGCTCTAACATAAAACTCGTTTAATTGAATAGTAAGATTGGCCTTATTTTTTGAGGGATGTTTAAAATTAGTCTCACTTGTAGCATGAAATACAAACATAAGTTAAAAGCATACTTCATCCAATGTACAAATTTTCTCTTTCAGTTCTTCAGCCAACGACCAGTCATATGCACGATTTAAATCCATATCAGAATATGGAAACTTGCTTCTTTTTAATAGTCTAATGAAAAAATTCGTGATGTCGTCACTCCCATAATGAAGGTATACCCTAAATTAAATAATCATAACCCAGTTTAGTTAAATTAAGGAAAATATTTTAAAATTTTTAAATAATAAGGAATTACTATAACCTGGAATCGGGAATGCACATTCCATCTTCGACACACGTGATGGTAGAGGTTTGGGCTCCAATATCAACAATACATGCTACCGACATGCCAGCTCCAAAACTGACACATATAGATTCCTGTGCCACAAAAACGCGTCGGAAACCCATATATCGTAGCAACATTGTGATCATTTCCAGCACATATAGTCGATTGTATATGTCAGGAATAATAAGAATTACAGAGTAGATCTAAAGAATTTTCCAGGGCCCATAAGCAAAAAAAAAATATTTTAAAAAATTTAATGCTAAAAATTTAATGAATACCCTGAAGTTTTTTTGAGAAATTCCAATTTTTTCTTGAATAGACTCAGACCAAATTGTTTCTAGATCCCCGATTACAGCTTTTATGGAATCGTAATCCCTGGTGTTGAATTCTCCATTTTGTATCGGATAAAACAAATTAAAAGAATCATCTGAATCGAGCAATCTAAGGGCCTGTATAATAATATTTTTTTTTTTTTAAAAAAAAAAAAAAAGTTATTAAAACATTAGATATTCTACTTAATTTTAAAACTTCTTTATACCTTTTCTCCTACATAGTACTCGGCATCCTCATCTACCAAAGTCCAATCGACTCTATAAGGATCATTATGATCCGCAATTATCTCTGGATGAACAGATTTATTAAATGAGTGAACTTGCGATTGTGCATTGGCAACAGGTCTCCGTTTAGATGCCTTTATCTTTTCTTTTAATTCTTTTTTTATTTCACCGACAGCTTGTTTAAAATGTTCCTAATTTCGTAAAAACGCAAGTTATATTAAAGTTATCATCATCTCACATAGCATCAAAACAATAAATGAGGATTCTAACCTCATCTTCATCTTCTTCTTCCGTCGCGACCGAAGAACCCGCCGAATTTGAACAAGATTCGGTTTCTTTAGCATCCTCATCATACATTTCTTTCTTTTCCTTCTCCTTTTTGATTTTGACATGAACAGGATGAACATGTTCAGTATCGACTTCGACTTTGATTTCTTTTTTTTCTTCCTCTTGCTGTGTTTCATGCTCCTTTCTATTTCTAATTCTGCGTGCAATCACATGTGGAACAACAATAGGAAATGCCTCAGAAGCGCGACCGATCCTAAGGTATCTTGATCCTGGATGTATCACCAATACTTTCGATCCGATATTTGACTACGGGAAGTTTTAATTTGAATAATGAAATTTAACATTATTCTATTAGGTCCTTAATTATTATAAATAATTACTACCTCTAGCTCCTCTTCACTAGTTGTTTCCTCTTCTTCGTCTTCATACATTTCTTCTTCTTCACTTTCCTTCTTTTTACCAGGCAAATCTTTCCTTACTTCATCCCGATTGAAATAAGAAATATCGTGTCTTAAAAATTTCGAAGTAACATACTTTGTTACAATAGGTGGTTGAGCCGCAAAGTTAGTAAACTTTAGTTGTGGTGTGTAGTGTCTGTCTATACTATTGGCAGCTTGCATGTGTTGTAATTGTTGAAAATTGATTTGATTTTCTGAAAGTGATTGTGGTGGTGGTTGAGTTTCTGTTATGTCTGTTTCTTGTGTAAACTCCATTATTTATATATAAAAAAAAATATTTAAACTAATTGGTAAAAGTGGTAAAGATAAAAATTGATTTTAAAATTTTTATACGATCTATTATTTATAATTTGAGTAGCGTTCGATGTTTTTACTGTATAAAGGTGCCATCATCGTCATATCTATATCGTAAATATTGAAACTCAATAAATTGTATAAATTGTGAAAACATATATTGCTATTTAAAAAACATGTGTCGAACAAAATTCACTACAAGAAATCTGCAAGATCAAAAAATGTAACAATATATGATTTTACTACGTTACTCAAAACAAAAGAATACAGCTGCTAGCTTATTCTATTTTTCGTACTGCAATATCACATGATCCATTAAACTAAAGATGTAAGTTAACTTTAGATTTTTCAAAATGAAAAAATTTTAATTTAATATTATCAATATTATCAATATTTTAACTTAAATATTTTAAATCGGGTTTGAAATAAATTATTGATGAGAAAATTGAAAAAAAGGTCGCAGTTGATTAAATTGAATTGATTAAATTCTAAATTATTAGATTAAGTTGCATTTTTAGCATAAGAACTAGAATTACTAATGCAGTCAACTCTCTATAAATTCTAAGTTGAAAAATTAATACTAATTGCATTCTTTTCTCTATATATAGTGTAACAGTTTTTGATTTTATCTATAAAAAAATTTCTATATAAATGCACTTATATAATTGTCTAAAGCATAAGTGTAAAATACTTCTGGTTGTATTATTTCATGCAAGTGTTTTTGTCATATCACATTTCTCTACTAATCATTTTTTTATGCAATTTAATATAAGTTATATGTAATAAATTTTCTTAAAATAAATTGTAAAGTAAATTTTCTAATAAACAAATCAAACATTAAGTAAATTATCTAATAAAATTAATATAAACTCTTTAATGAAACAAAATGTTTTTATATATAATAATGCATTATGATCATAATAATGCTACGATTTTTCATATTATCAATATACCTTTTAAAAAAATTACATTAACTGATATCTAAAAATATGAACTTAATCTTTATGCAAATAATAATAATAAATTATAACCATTATATAAATTATATTGAAAAGAAATAGGAAATTATAATTAATAATAATACAATAATCAAATTTTACAAACAAAAAAAAATGACTTTTTACTAAAATTATTTATTTAAAACAAAAACATTATAAATCTGTTACTTTTTTTTTAAATTTAAACTTACTTTTTAAAGAATATGTATTAAATTATCAATATTAAGCAATAATGTAATTTTAATTAAAAAAGCTAAATTGTTAGCAGATGGATTAGGAATTCCTAAAAATAGGTTGCAATTTTCTAATAGATTAATAATTAAATAATAATTATAAAATATTTTAGTCATAAATTATAGATTATTATAAAATAATTAAATAATAATTATCTTAATATAACAAAAATATTAATTATTAATAAAGAAATTATTATATAATTATTTTGTAATAAGATAGAAAACAGTGTAAGAATTTTATTATAAATAGTCTAAAAAATTAATTATGTAAAAATTAGCTTTTATAGTTATATTTAGATAATTTGATAATTTTATTAGTAGTGAGCAATAAACCATTTTTAACAAATATTTAAGTTTTATTAGTTTTGTTATTAAAATCTTTATTGAATGAATAATCTTTAAGAGAATTTATGAAGAATAAAAAAGTAATCCTTTTATTAGTTATTATATAATCATTGAATATAATGAAAATGTATCTTTAATTATTTAAAAAATATTTTGACGTTAAGTTAATAAAATCTTCATACTTTTTAATTTAAAAACTTAGATTATAAATGAATATTAGAATAAAACAATTGAGAAAAGCATGTAATGCCTTTTTTCTATTTTAGAAAGAATTTAAATAAACCTCTTTTAAGCAATATGAATTTTGAGTTAAATTCAACTATTATTTGATCAATTAAGTGTTTCAGTCTATATGATTGAAAGTTGAATAATAATATATAATAAATATAATAATATAATAAAAAATAATGATATTATTAAGTAATATAAACATTGTTAATATAAATTTAAATTATATATTATTTAATATGATAAATTTTTTAAACTAAAATTCAAATTTTAATTTATTAAACTTTTAATCAATACTATTAAAATTGATAAATATATATTCTATTGATTGAAATTAATAATAATAATACTAATTATATATTATAAGTAATATATTTTAAAATAATTTTTTCAAATTTTCTTATTTAGACAAATACATTTAAACCATTTTAACAGATTAGTAAAAAAAAAAAAAAAAAAAGAATGGAATTACATTATAAAAATATTCTTAAAAATAATTTCTAGCAAAGAGAAGAATGAAAAAATAATACTTTAAGAATCTTTTAAAAATATTGTTATTTTTATCATGAAATAAATATTTATATACTTATTGATCAATTTTTAATTTCGTATAAAAAAAAAATTTGATCTTAGTAAAATTATATTTTACTTTCTAATGTATTAAAAATCAATTTTAAAATTTAGGATCTAGTATATAGGATCTTTGAAATAGAAAGGAAACTGCCGGAAAAAAAATGTTACTTTATATGCCAAATGGTCAAAATATGTTCAGATTTAGCATAACTCAATTTTTTTTTTATTTTTCCCGGCATTTTCCCCTTATCTATTGCAAAGGTCCCATATGTTTCACCCTAATACATTTAAAAAAGAAATTTTATTATATACATTATTTCAAATATAGATAATTTATATGTAAAGGAATAAAAAAGATGCAGTTCTGATATATTTCTCAGAGATTTCTTAATCAATTTCAAATATAAAAACTACAAGAAAAAGAAAAATAAATATTCTAATCATTATAATTTTCACTACTTCTGAAGTACATGTATGATTCAAATAAGGCTTATACCTGAAACTTGGAAATTGAATAATGTGGGCAATTTTTATTACAATCTATCCGGATTATTGTGAAACTGACGAGATAAAAATAAAGCGAACCGATTCAATTGTTACTGATTGAAAAATAATTTAAGAAGACGCTTTATTCGACATCGTCTACTTGACTTTAATTGAAATAAAATGTCTTTTTTTTTAGGTGAGCAAATGATTAAAAATTACGATAATCTATCACGTTGTTACTATATAATTTTCTTGATTCATATGATTTAACGAAAACGGAGAAGACAAATGATGTTTATATGAGTGTGAAATTTTGAAATTGACAAAAGAAAGCTAATTAGGCGAAATTTTTCTTTATTCTGAGTAGAATCTCGCCACAATCGCTCTTTTGACTGGTTTTCATTTTCGGCCAGACAAGAACGATCTTTTTGAGCCCCTAGATGAAAGATAGTGATATTAAAAGAAAAAAATTGACAAATGGAAACGTTTCTTGGTTTCAATGTCGTCGATTACGCTTCCTGCTATTCACGCATTTTAGCGTCATTTTTTGGGAACGAGTATATAAAAAATCATTTGCCGAGAAATGATTTGGTATCAAATAAAACTATTTATAAAAATCAAGCCCCAATTTCGGTCTTTGACCGAATAAAGAACCGAACGACTCCAATCAACAACTGAGTAAAATTTTGAAATGATATCATACCTCTTTCCAGTTCTACCACCCTTTGTATTCTCATCATGATAATCCGTGAATTGATCAATCGCTCCTCCAGCCATAATTTCCATATGGTCAGTATTCTTTGAATTGGATTTTACTTCTTTACGAAGGCGTTCTACTTCTTTTTCATAATCCTCTCTTTGTTTTTTGTTCTCAACAGCAGTATCACGAACCTGTGTAATCTTGGCGTCTATAACTTTTAAAATTTCCTCTGAAGTTTGGGACCTTTACAGAAAATAAGACGAATTGAAACAAAAAAAATAATAATATGAAGAAAATAACGAAAAAGATCCATACCAAACGCTTAATACTTCCAACATTTGATCGATTTGTCCAGGTCGTAAATCTCTACCCATTGTATACTCGATTTCAAGCTGTTTCCTTTTTTGATCTAATTTGCCTTTGATGACATCCTGATAGACTGCCTCAATAATTAAATCTTCAAGTTCACGGACATTTGGTATATCAAGGTATTGCAAAAGTATATCATATGGAATTGTCTATTGTATTTATTTAAAAAAGAGATTAATACAATCAGATTCAATCTTATAATAACGAAACTAATTCTAGACACAAACTCTTGATTCTTCAGATAAGGAAACGATAGATAAATGTTTCAATTTATTCAGTTGTATGGCGTCTAATGGTGGCAACGTTGATGCATGCTCTAAAAGACAGATCATAATTGAATCGATATTTTATAAACATCATTAAATTAATAAATAATATCATGAGAGTTACCTTTATAATCGTTGTATGTGCCATAACAAAATAAACTTAATAATGTAT